CACCCCCCCCCTCTTCCTTCCTTCTCTCCCCTCTCCTCGTGATCTACTCTCCTCCTTCCCTGCCGCTCTTTCTCAACCCCCCGCGCTCTCATCATTCAAGCAGAAATGCATTGCAGGAGCAGTTACGACGGTTGCAGGCGAAAGAAAGAAATCAAGCGGCGGGAAACATGCAGGAAAAGTTACGACGGGGAAGGGAGGAAGCAGCTGCAGCCCCGTCCTCTCTGCGTGTGTAGCCAGTGAGCTCCTTCTCCTCCTCCTCCTCCTCTCCCCTCCCCCCAAGTCAGCCGTCACTCCCCCTCCTCGTCCTCACCCGGCGCGCTATGGGACAAGACAATTCCAAGGGAGCTGCCAGAGCGTCTGGAGATCCGTTCGCGGTGTTTCGATGCGCGGATGAGGAAGATTTTCAATGCTGTCAGGTGGGCTCAAGCTCGAGCTCATGCTCGAGCTCATGCTCATGCTCATGCTCATGCTCATGCTCATGCTCATGCTCATGCTCATGCTCATGCTCATGCTCATGCTGCCTTACTTCTGCTCTTGACTGACCCGCATGCTCTTTTCCCTCGCAGAATCGAAGGGACGATGCCATCAGCTGCGAAGTGAAATCGTCAGCTCCTGCAAAGGCCAAGGTCAACAGAAGAGCGAGCGAACCGACCGTGAGCACGCCTCGGATGTCGTCGAGCATGGCAAACACTGTCCTCATCGATCCTACCTCTCCCTCCATGCACCAGGCGTCTGCCTTCGGGGATATCGAGAGGATTCAGTTTGAGCTTGACAACGGCTGGCACGGTGACTCGTCCGCCTTGTGTGCTCCAACTGATCGTGCGGTGCCAGTCGACATGACGGACAGCTACGGGAGAACAGCGCTGCATCATGCTGCCTTGAACGGCAACAGCGAGGCCTGTCGCTTCCTCGTCGACAACGGAGTCAGTCCTCGTGCTCTTGTGTACGTGGCATGACGTGTGGGGTAGGCGAGGCTGGATGCGCGAGCGAGAGATGGCAAGACGCCTTTCAACTACGCGGCTGAGAACTGTAAGGCCGACACGCTGCGATACCTGGACCTCTGCGCGAAGCAGCTGGAGGTGATGATGAGGAGGAGGAGGAAGGGGTGGACGAGGACGAGGACGAGGACGAGGACGAGGACGAGGAGGGGGAGGACGAGGAGGACGAGAGGGAGGAGGAGAGGGAGCAGGACGAGGAGAGGGAGGAGGACAAGGAGGACAAGGAGGACGAGGAGGACGAGGACGAGGACGAGGACGAGGACGAGGACGAGGACGAGGACGAGGATCTGACGTTTGACATCTCCGGCAGCGGCATAGAAGCTCAGGCAACACCAGCTCGAGTGTTCCTCTCTCCCCTTCCTCTAACCTCAAGGTACTTCCTTCCCCTCCCCTTCCCTGTACCTCCTTCTACTCCTTCTCCCTTCCCAACCCCTGAATGGTCAGGATTCGGTCAACCCCCTCCCGTCCTCCTCTCTTTCAACATTCCGCCTTCAACTCCATTTGCTCCTCCTCGTCCTAGTACATCCTTCCTTCTTCCTTCTTCCTCCTCCCTCCTTCCTCGTTCTTTCTTCATTCTCTCCGTCCTCTCCTGAGTCTGGTCTTCAGTTGCCTCATGTCAACCACAACGATCGTCCTGCTCATCAGCGTATGCAAGCGCCCTTGACCCCGAGGACTCCGCGAGTGTCGACGCCGCGACGCGTCATGACGCCTCGCGCTCCTACCTCGCCTTTGATCCACGACCTGTACACGTCCAGCAACATCCCCGAGCTGCTCAAGTCGCCTCCTCCCTCCTCCTCCCTCCATCATGCGAGGGAAGAAGCTCTCATGTGACGAGGGGCGTCGGAGGCTGCTGGGACAGCGGAGGAGCGAAGAAACGATAAGATCAGGGACGGGAAACTGGGTCGAGTCAGGCGGCGCGTCCGTTGGTGCTCGTGGGTGGAGGAGGTTTACTGTGTAGACGACAACCAAACAAACACTCATTACTGGATGTTGATGAGTTACGCTCATTACTGGATGTTGATGAACAACACTCATTACTGGATGTTGACCCGTGTCAGACTCAATCGGCACGATGACTCAAGCGGATGCTCCGATGATGTTGCCGTTCTTATCCTTGACTCCGACCATCTATCAAAATCAAACATGTCACGTGAGAAAGTCTGCAGCCTCTCTCGCCCTTACCACACAATATTCATCGAAGTCAATCTTGCCGTCTCCTGACGTGTCATACTGCACAACAGCTTTCATTCAAAGCACACCTGCACATCCTCCCTCCTATTCATTCCTCCTCTTCATCCCTCCCCTCCTCACATCTACCCCCACCCTCACTCTCTTGGATGTAAATTACCCACCATCATGAGCACAGCTTTCAGCTGAGCGTCAGTGATGTAAACTCCTTGCTGCAACGTCGTCAGCCTTTCTTTCCTCCCTGCTGCCCTCAACATCACCAGGCGATATGCGGTCTTGAGCTCCTGAGGCCAAAGTGAGACCAAGAATACACCAGGGCCTCACATGCCCATGCAACGCCGAGGAGGATCAGGATGGGACGGGGAGAGAACGTTGGCAGCGATCAACAAAGGAAGCAGCTTACCCCGGGCTCTATGAAACCTGACCCGTCGGTGTCGATCGCCTTGAAGACTCGTCCTACCACACGCACTTCAACTCCCTCCTCCTACCTCCATCCGCCCTCACGAGCTTCGGAGAGAGGATCAAACAAATCCCCGACTTGTTGACCTGATACCGTAGTCATTGACCTCTTCTCTTCTTGAAACTAACAAGCAATTGACCTCCCTCAACAGGATGCATCTCCTTCTCCCGCACCTGCCAGCCCCCCATCAGCTCCCTCCCTCCTCCCCGCCTGCTGCTTCTGCCTCAATCTGCGGCTTCTCCTGCTCGTCGCCCTGCACCCATCATGTCACAAGCCCGCAAGCTGCACGCGACAAGCAGAGCATCGAGCAACGCCAAGAAAGCAAGCAAGCCCCCGCAAGCTGCCCCGAGCATCACCTTGGATCTGTCCACGATGTGCTCCTGGTTGGGCACCCCTGCAAGTAAACGTCACCTCCTCCTCCTACAAGGCTTCGCCGGCGCCTCTCAACCGTCTTCAGGAGTGAAGTCATAGTCGTCCAGGCCTCGGATCGCCCCTGAGCTCCTCGTTACCCTCAAGGTCCTCTCCTCCTCCCCACCTCGTCCCCCACATCCCAGCACCCGAGTCTCACATTGCCCGACGTACTCCATCAGGTTGTAGTCCGGGTTGCACACGTAGTCATACGCCACGTAGCAGTACCCGCCGTCCGCCCACGTGCTGCCAACAAGCCGTCAGCTCGCTCCCCGCTCAGCCTCAGCGTCTCCTTGCCTGCCCCAGCTGTTCCTCACGATGAAGCACTGGTCGGGGTCGGAGTAGCTGCCACCCCATCACGTTCGCCCCCTCCTCCCACGAGGCGGCGCCTCCTCTACCCGACTAGCAGCAGCGCATGCGTGCCGTGCTCGGAGGCCTCCGGGTCGCTGCTGTCGGGCTTGGGAACGTACCCGCTGTTGGCAGCGGCACCTTCAGTAAGAGCGAGCAGTGACGAGGGGAGACAACTTCTTCGCCGGCTTCAAGAAGCTCTCGGTCAACCGCAGCCCAAACACTATCGGAAACCGTCCGACAGCAAGTCTGCATACGCCCATGA